TATATCTTAAATATACGTTTTATATCTTCTGTATAAACGTAGATTAAAATGTGTCAGCATTGAAGTAGTTTAACCGAAAATATGTCTTCCCTATGCAATGCAAATGAAGGAAAGGGGGGGGGGGCATAAAACTCTCAATGTAAGACAAAGAGTGCCCCGCGTACACTACACCACACTCTGGCCCATACAAGTTGAAGTAGAGATGACACTGTTTCTGCATACGTCTCTACGCAAAATTAAACTCCTAAAATTCCAGTTTTGAGGTAACCTCTCAATGTACAAATTATCCCCCTTTCGTATAAAAGTGTGAAGTTTGTTTGTTTTTTGTTTTGTTTTTTAATACAGATAAACATATCGACACAATGACTGTCATTTAGTTCTGGGAAAGGGTAAGACAGCGAGACAGACAGAAAGAACGGAAGTAAAGTAAAGAAGTTGGACAACCAGTACCAGCCGCTATATGAGAACGCTAAACAAAACCTGATTAGAAAGAACAAAAGAAAACGAATGTTTGTTCACAAGCAAAGCCATTTGATCTTGCGGGGTTACCGTATCTACAGCACCTGGACCGGCGACCCTTCCAGGCTGATTCTGCTGGAGCAGGTGATATCGGAGGTTCAGAACAAGTAGCAGGTCACCACTGCCTCCCATGTGGGAAAAGAGTTATTGACGGGACTCAAAGACTTGCAGGTAGAGTCAAACCTGCTTTAACTTTAATGGTCACCTGTATGAGTATAAGACCATCGCTTGTGCAAACGATCACTCTCCATTTCTCCCTTCTGTCCTCTTGCGTTTTTCATTCCTTGTGCTGTCTAAAACTACCACGCCCCCCCCCCTCTCAACAATGGGTGGTTGTCTCAGGCAATACGACTGCAGTTACTTCCTGGTTTAGTTTGCTGATCCACTAGCGTTGTACCAAAGAGTCTACATAACAAGAGGGGCCACTTCTCTCTTTGAGCCAATTAAAAAAGTGTCTTAAAAATTTGATGGCGCCCTCTTTGCAAAAGCGCACCTTTTGCGAACAGAGTTATCCTACTTGAGTTAAAAAAATTAAAGTGAAACTAGAAAGTTTTTTATGAATTTCGGAAGAAGGCTTTTTTAAAATGGTTACGCTGACAAAAAAACCTCTTCCGGAGGAAAGGGTGATTGTTTTCTTCGTTAAATTTGACTTTAGAATGAAAGGCGAGAGGTCATTCAAATCTTTTAAAACCCTAAAACTCCGCACTGAACAAACCCGAACTGCTGACAAACAGCAGTCGATCTGCGCACGCAAGGAGGTGCTATTCCTATTCTTCTTCTGGAAAAACGAAAGGGAGCTTCAAAACAGATTGCAGCGCCATCTGAAGCAAAGAGCGAACTTCCTACGGACACTTTTTTGGCTGAGTGGCCCATCTTGTTATTTACTATCTTTGGTTGTACCTAATGTGCATTGCTGTAAACTTTGTTTTCGCCTAATTTGGCATGGTCTTATACAGTTGAGGGAGGCTAGATTTTCTCCGTGGAAGGGGAAATCTACCATTTTGGCACAATTTTATAAAAATCCTCCCAAATCAATAAATTATTTTAATTTTGGTTAACTATGTCACTATTGGCTTTTTTAAAAAATGAGTATATATGTGTCACACGAAACAAGTCAGATCGTTTGTTTATTTCGCGGAATGCGACAGGCCTCCGATTCCGAATACTCTTGGCCTACTAGGACGATCTTGATATGGAAATGGAAAAGCATAAAGTAGTGCACTGGCTGGCACTATTTCCCGACCAGACCAAGTCCGATGTGATCATGCTTTTTGGGTTTTGCCAAAACAAACACAAAGGATTGTTATAATTCTATGATTAGAGAATTTGCACCTCCTTTATGCGTTCGCTTGGACCATTTGTGACCTCTCCAACTCGCTGAAGAAACTGGGGGGGGGGGGGGTTCAAACGCTTTCTACTCATGCTTACACTTTTTCAACCTCTAGCAGACATTTCACTTGTGGCTTTGTCCTGTATTCCCCAGCACCTGTATCCCGGCTTACTTCAAACTTGGACATGACAAACACAGCCACCAGAGATCAGATTGTGGTGAAGATGAGAAATAAAGGTAAAGTACATTATATTCTCTCTCTCTCTCTCTCACTCTCTCTATCTCTCTCACTCTCTCTCTCTCTCTCTTCCCTCTCTCTATTCACGCACACACACACACACACACATATATATATATATATATATATATATATATAGTATGATCGTCAACACTTTTCAAAGGTCTCCACCATTCCGGCAGGTGTAATGTGCACACGGGAGCCTGTGGAGTGAAAACCACCCGGCTCCGACCAAGTCTCCTGCTCATGAACCGCCATGTGGAGATTTTCCTGGAAACTCTGGAGTCTGTGCTCAAGGACCTGACATAGACAGATGCTGAGAGAACAACAGTCATTTTATAAACGGGTGTGCGCCCGAGGCAATTCATCAAAGTCCCTCGAACAGATTTGCGTGTTTGTTTTATATGAGCTCGAAGTGCTATTAGTATTAGAAATGGTACGGAAGGTCATTCTCTAAAGGCGGTACCCGGTACCTCTGAATTCAATGTCCATCTCTGATATGATGAGCTATATGATTGGAGAGCCTTGAAAACTCCACAAAACGAACGATGTTCAGGGGTTCGAGTCAGGGAAGTCCGCTCCATTGTCCAGCGTGATTCAAACTAAGCTAATAGTAACTTAATAATATAGGCCTACTCATACTCCTTCGTTTTGACATACGAACACATCACTGGTGAGTCGTCCATTGCTGACTATATTATTATTATGACAAAATGCAAAGATGCAAAATGCTTTTGTTGTTGTTGCTGTTGTTCTTTCTATTTCAATGTAAAATAAAACAAAACAAAACAAATTAACATGTTAAATTATTTAAGAAGAAGAGATAGGGACAACAGATGATCGATAGGACAGAAGAAGCAAACCATACCAGAGCACCTGCCAGCCACCCACAAGTCTTCTTTGCCTAAGGATAATATTAATTTGTGAAAATTTGCGCTGGACGTTGCAACCACAATTACCACCCAGAACCCTTAATTTATGTCTTTAACAAGTCAACTTATAAACCTAGCACCCGTTTAGTTTTGGTAAGAGTTTTACAGCACTTGCAACACAATTAGGTCATATAAGTGCCGAAGATTGGAGGGGTTACAAGAGAGTAACAAAACAAAAAAGGAGGGGAGATAAGGATGAAAGACGTTCGATAGGCAAGAAAGAGCAAACCACACAAGAACTCCCGCCAACCACCCATCCCAGCACCCCAAGAAGGGATAAAGGGACCAGAATAAACCAAAAAGACAGAGCTACTTTTTTTTTTATCGCAGTTTGTATTCAAGTAAGCCTCTTACTGCAAGAGGCGAGGTGTGGCTAAGCTGAAAGTATCTAAATATTCTGAAGCCAATAAACACTTTATGTATGAGTCAATGTTAAAACTTTAAAATTAAAACTTGATTTTTCCCCCTTGATATAAAAGTCGTTGTGCTTGATGAGTACAATTCGAGTTAATGCGACATTATCTGTCATTTTAGATCTTGGGTTAAATCTTCAGCAGTGTGAGGTAAAACATCGCCCCTTCAGGAAAGGCTCTTCATATTTTTTCTTATTTTCCTCTCTTGGCTTACTTTACTTTTTCCTTCCTCTGGTATCCTTTGGATGTCGAGGGGAGGTGCAGGTTTCGGTCCCGTGCTAGGTGTGTAAAGTCTGTGATAGATATGTTATGCTGTTCCAGGACTTTTTTAACCCCATCCAGCCAGGTCTTTCTCGGTCTTCCTCTTGATTTGAAACCGGATTCTCGGGTGTTGTAAGCCCTAGCCGCTAGTTGTTTCGGGGACATTCTGGTTAGATGAGATGTCAAAACTATTCGACTCTTTGACGCTCTGTGAATTGTATTACTGCTGGTATTCCGGTTTGCAGACGTACAGTTTCGTTTCTTATGCAGTCTCTTCTGGAGATGATGGTTTTGTGGAGACACCTCACTTCGCATGCATTAATTTTTCTTTCTTGTGCCTTGTTTTGAGACCATGTTTGGCTCTGGTATGTTAAGGTTGGTACACATGTATGAAGATGTTATTGATGAACTGGGATTTCACTTCGGTTGGGATGTTCGTATGACTGAGCAGGGGTTCAGGCTGGTAGGTCATTGTAATTGCATCTCTTGACATGCTAGCAAAAGACTACTTGCCTATCAATAGTCACAATGTTATATTTAAATTTTAAATAACATGATTAAAGCTCTGAACAAATGGCAACTTTCTAAAGTTCGGAATCAACAGCTCTGTTTTTGAGACAAGGGCCTTAGACTAGAGACAAATACAACAATTAGCTAAAACATCACAGTGCTAAATCCTTACAAATAGAAACTAAAAGCGGAGCCAGTCAACTCTTTTCAGGGACTTTTCAGGCTACTGCTTTTCAGACCTGACCTCTTGCAATGTCAAGAAAAACAATATAAGTTGTAGGCACAAAAGTATTGTGCAAAATGTATATATATATATACTATATGTGGTACACATGAGGCTAGACCTCCTCCAGAACAGGCTGCAAGTCTGGCAGGGACAGACACTGACACCCGATTTATTCTTTTATGTTGGAAGAGAGTCAAAAACTGTTTTTAAGTTGTTTTTTCCCAATGCTCAAATTCAAACCTAGCTCAGATAGAAGGCATTTGAACAATAACTTGATCTGGATGCCATCTTGTGAACATTTCTAACATGACAAAACCTCTACAGACACAGTGAGCTTTTCTTTTCCACAACATTTCTAAAATTCAATTGTTGCCTTGAGGAATTTCTGTCCGTGAACTAACATTTGCCATCTTACAAGGTGGATATCAATGCAAAGCAAGAGAAATAATAAGCACAAAACGCAAAACCAAATCTTTTCACAACTAACTTGGCTTCAGTATAAACTCTGCCAGTATTCAAAACATAATACCCAGATGCCTATGTATCCACAGAGGAAGATAACACAGTTTTGCTTTTCATATGAAAATATTTAATATTTGACAGGTGACCTTCTTGACAGCATTCAGTTACTTGAAAATTTCGTACTTTTATCAGGATGATGGACAAAATAACCAAAATGCAAAGCTGATATAGTGCTATTTAGCAGATCTTTCTTAGATGAGGTAAAAAGAGACTGACATGTAGAAAGATTCCTAGCAACAATCTCACTGTTGATCATTACAAAACTCTTTTTCACTCATGTTCAATGATGTTCATATTTTAGATAAGAATAACTACGACAAGAAGCCAAAAGCAAAATCAAAAAGTTCAGATAAGCGGGACACTGAAACAACAGAAATCATGTAAAGAAGATACATGTAATGATTGTGCAGCTTATGTAACAATCAACACTTATCACCAGAGTAGCTGGGATATGAGGCAAATCAAAAAGAAAATGAATGTCACATTACATGTTGATCAGCAGGACCGAGAAGTATCAAAGTAATTTCAGCAACCAAAAAAGTATTTCGTAGAAAAATTTATCAGTTTCATAATGTGATATAAAAAAGAGAAAACAAAAGAATTGTTCCAATGTGTTACACTCTGTGGGCAGCCTGGTCCCTCATGTGAAAGAGAATTGACGAACAACGTTCAACATAGCTCCAGGTCATTACATTTTCCCAATACAAAACCCACAGCCAATAAACAAACATAAGGATATACATACATGTTATAATAATCTAAAAGTTTCATGCCCCATTAGACACAATGAGGGTCATAATGGAGGTGAAATAGAATTAGTGAAAAAGCAAGAGCAAAGCAATTATCCCAATAAATGAAATGCCTAAAAGGATCTTTCACAAAGCCAAATGGGCTATCATGAATAATGAGGTCCTCCTAATCATTGATCACTGTCATCATTTTCACTGCACGAATCAAATGCAATTTACCACAGTCTTTGTGCACATTAAGTAACACAAAAAAATGCAACTGTAGGTGTTTTATGCCCCCATCGACACTATTTAGATAATTTAGGAGGCGCATATTTAGTAAGGGAAAGTGGCGGAGTATAGATTTTAAATAACATTGAGCTCTAAGCTTTATATTTTAAGTAATCAGGTAATGTACACAGGTCCTTCATCATATCTACTATTCTACTAACATTCTGCTATTCCAGTTTCTGCCAGCAGGCACATATATTACAAACAGCATGGCAAAGTACATTGTACAACCAGTCACAAATAAAAAGGTAGGTCTTATCTGAAAGACAAATTTTTGTGCAGTTTCATTGCACTGTGGTATTTCTCAGACAAGTACACTATACTTCAGCCACTACCATAACAAGATCCAAATTGAGATGTGAATGCATAAATAAAAGGCAGGAATGCATATACACATAATGCACACACATGGAACACAGAAAATCAGTTACAGGATTGTGTGCTTAAACGATCATCCTTGGTACATAGATTTCTGAACACTCCTCACATTTGAAACACAACTCACAAACGATGTGAGAAAAAGCGATGTGGAAGGAAACAAATGTGTGACTTTCAATACTTTGATCATTCTCGGTTTACATTACCAAGACTTAAAGTACAAACTTAACCCTTTAAAGTAATACACTCCTCCCACAGGTATCTCTGTGTGCACTACACCCTGTGCTGCAATAGAAACAAACTAGTATTTCTTTTCCACCCACAATTTATCAGCATATGTATTGTGTGAAGAAAAGCAGAACGCATAAGTGTTTGGCTCAAAAAGGGCTAAATCTGACACCTTCTACCACAAGGAGTACTTCTATCCAGTTGGTGTCAAAGAATGCTGAATTGATTACAACAACATTAACTAAAAAATCAACTGCAATGGAAGGCTCAAACGACTAGAGAAAAACAAAGTCTCTAGGCCATCCAACACATCTAATTTTACAAATTCATCACGAGTGGAAATAGTGACAGAGCAAGAAGCAAACCTTCCATTGAAATTTATACAATATGCTTATCTCTTCCTGTAGCACCCACAATGGCATAAAAAAACACATTTGTAACAACAATGTTATTGTGAACACTTCATAAAGATCACTCCTAAAACTGGATCTATCATAAGAGGTATATTCCAAGATGAATAAAACCATGCACCAAGTACCTTATCTTTATGAAGCTAAAGTCACTTAGAAAGAAGTTGAAACTAAGATTCTCAAAGTTGAATTCCAGATTAGAACTAGAATTCCAAAACTTCCAAGACATTTTTAATGACTTTAAGCTTTGTCTTGACGGGCAGCTACAACTCCACATTTCACTAAATGGAGGTTACTGTTGGCTTTCAGCTCATAAAACAAAGCAAATTCCTATCCCATCTCATACGCAGGCACAGAGACATAACAAAAGGCAAGAACCACCTAGCACCTCAAATGTTTCAAGAAAAATGCGAGTACAAAAACTTTTGGGGGAACAATCAACAAAGGAGACAATGAGCAGGAGGGAACCAGAAGATGAACCGCCAGGAACATACAGCAAAATAATTATGTGCATTACAGCAAACAAAATTATAAGTGTTACTGTTTCAGAAGGATATAGGATCTATCTGTATTATAGACCACATAACAGTTACTATTAAAGGCCACTACATTTTATGTGTAAATATTCATCCACATCAGTTGCACACATGTGTAAATGGCTCGATTTCAGGTTATTTCACTTGGAATGATTATGCTGTTTTTGTACTCATTGGCCATCAACATTTGATGGATGATTCAGTCCCCTACCTCTTTTAAGGTAACCAAACCCCCCCCCCCCCAAGTTTCCATTGTTTGGCCTAATGGAAATGTCTTCAATCTGCGAGTCTGAGAGCACATTTGCAGTGGAAAACAGTAACTTGCAGCACTCTGTGAGTTTCCGCAATGTAACAGTAGGTACGCTTTACTGGGCGAGTTAGAAAGATATGTATAAAAAAGAAATACTTTGTTCATTTGAATAACACATAAAAAATACTTGCCAAGGTTACTAAAAAACTGAAACAAAGAGATAGAACAGCTGATATAAATTTTGAAGTACACATGACTTGTTTTGGTTTTTCTCATGAAAAAAGTGACTATGAAGGGAGCAAGTATAAGACTACATAGCTCTGTGCTTTATCGAAGAGATCATAAAAAGATAGAGGGACTAAGAGAATGGGAAATACAATTTTTGTTTTTCCTTTTTAAAAAATTGAAAAGGGTAAATCTACTCTTCCATTTTTCAAATATAGATGCTGCAAAGCTTTTTCCATCAAAATCAGATATCTTTTTTTTCAGAAGTCAAAGCATTTCTCTAATTAAGAGACCTCAGAAAGAAAGAGTGCAGGAGGAATAAATCAAAAACACAAATTCATTTTTTGTTCACAAAGAGAAAAGAGGCATAAAATTATTTTTAAAATACAAGTACTTATCTTGCTCTCATTAGCAAGGACAAAAGAAGAAGAAAGAAATGTTGAAACAAACTAAAAATGACTTAGTTTTGATAAAATAAGGAAAGAGTAAATAAGGAAGCACATTTAAAACTAACAATCCTCTCACCTTCAACAAAGACAAAAAACAGCAGAGACTAAAAAAAGAGGAAACTTATTTTTTCTCCAAAATACATGATAAAAAATTGAAGTAAAAACCTATTCATTTTTTCGCCGTTCACCATTCAGTTTTTGCATGAGAAACGAGGCAGCATATGGCAGAGATACAGCCAGTACACATATGCTGATGTAGGCTGGTAGTCTGTAGAGTGACTCCATGGCATAGAGCAGGGTTATGGCTGTCATGGCATACAGCACCCAGCCAATGACTGCACTCTGACTCCTGAGAAGAAAAATAATACAAATAGTGTGCACAGACCTTCAAAATTATCTGTGTCATCCTATAATAATCTAAGTATAAAAAACATATCCCTCTCTGCCTGTCTTTTACCACTTCATGTTTGGCTACATGTGTACTTAAGAGGGGAAACACTACTGAGATAACAACATTTCTTTTCTTTCATGAACAGCTGAAATATAGTTTTGAGTGATTTCCTGGAGATAGACTCTTCAAACTTTCAATCTAATTTGGTTGCTATGCGTCGTCATATTGCTAGATGATGTGTTAATATATATCAAGTTACTCACCTTTAGTACAATATCATTGAAAATTCCTATTAGTATTAGGTGTCTAAAATAAAAACAGGACTTATTTAAAGGGCAGTAAGTCAAGTCAGCTTAGCACCAATTTCAAAAAAACTTCAAACAAAATATGAAACTCATAAAACTCAACCAGGGGGAATATAAAATTTCTTAGTTAAAAAAATATATATATCTATCTGTTCAGGAAATTTCAAGTTTTTAAGAAATTTGACCAAAATCGAAAAAAAAGGAGAAAATGGAATGACTTTACTTCTTAAAAGCATTCAACTGCAAGGGCATGATCAGCCTGTTCTGGTTTCAGGACGAAGACAGTAAAACCTCAATCATCACATTAGATGGATATTTCAACATGCTGAGAGAATTTTGGAGAAGTTTGGGGAGGAGAAAAGGGTTATGCTCTTGAGGTGGCCCGGTCCGGTAGGGTGGGGCCACACCCCACACATCAAGAGTGGTCCTTGCATGGTCGCAATAAAGGAAGGTTTGAGAAATACTTCCCCCCCCCCCCCCACTTAAACCCCATCTATTATTTCCTTTGGAGCTTTTTGACAGAGTCAACAGAAACAACCCAAAAGAAATTGAAAAGTTGAAATGTTGAACAGGTGGTCAAAAGAATGGACCCAGAAACACGTCACAGAGTAATTAAAAAATTACAGCTGCTTATTCCAGCTTGCCTAGTGAGAAATGGTTAACACCTGGAGCATGTTGAAATTAGTGCTGAGATGAGTAAGTTATTGCCCTTTAAGTGGGTCATCTTTTTTACTGGGACACCCTGTATGAGCCTCAATACTTTTATCTGGGTGCCAGATTGCTCCTCTTATTTTCTAAAAACAGCAACAAAATTTCTCTCACCTGCTGACTGTGGCATTCTCAGCATAAAGCAAGAGAACCACTCCAACAGTGACAGCTAAAGAAGGATAACGGCTGGGATCTGACTCCAATGGCTGAAACCAGGCTCTGGTCCTGAGAAATAAGAGATGTGATATTATTTCATAACTGCTTATCCACATGAGAAACTGTCCTTGCAGTTGCCGACAGTGACAATAAAAGAAAAGAACACATAAATCTCCAAAAAGTACAGCGGGTATAATAATTATAGTATAGTTCAACCATTAAGGACCATGATGACCTAAAACACTATCTACCCACGCAGCGTTCAGAACACGCAACACTTATCCCCACAGACCAGGATACAGATGAGGTACATGCTATATCACACCGTCACCGATCGAGGGGAAAAGGTGCGGCTTTTTACCATCACCGATCGGTGTCCCGTGGGGGCAAAGTGTTAACATCCAAAGAAGAAGAGATGCAATAGACCTTGCCAGCTGCTGCATGTAGGTAGCATGGTATATGAAAATAACAGCAAGCAACTTGTAATGATCACAAATGCCACAGCTCCCCATAGCTAGCAGCACCTTGCCCTTTACTAAAGTGGTGTGCTTATCTGGCTAACAGTTGTTTAGTGGGTATACAAAGTATTTTTATCACAGAACTCACAGTCCTGGTCTCTCATTCACACATATTCACAAAAGAGTGACCATACTCCTGACTTCTTTACACATAAAAATACATGTGGACAACTTCTCTCTTTTTTTTTCTTCTAATTTAAAAAAGAAGCACTAAAACATGAGGGTCAGGCAGTGCAAAGAGGAGAGATGGGCTATAATAATTTCTTTTTTATAATTTCCAAATTAGCTGGTGCATTTACACTGTTTTCTTACACAGCAGTAGGCCATCATAAAAGGAAAGCCATGACAGGTCACTTAGCCTCAGTTTAACATCATCCATTATCACAGCAATTAGATCATGTGAATTCTTCAGATATGGACCCCAGAGGACAACCAGTAAGCACAACACTGCTAACTGTAAAAGACGGAAGTCAAGACCCTTTCAAAAAGGAAAAAGAAAGAGGAAAAATCTGATGTGCTATTCAAAATTCAGTGCCTGAAAGACAGAAGATGAGATAACTAAGGGCATATAATAGGTCCTTTCCTTACATTTATAGCAATTTGTATTTCCATATACTTTTTCCATAGAGTAACAAGTGCTGTGACAACATGGCAAATTCTGTTGACCAAACCAAAACAACAGCAATCATCTGCTGTAAATGAATAAAACCTACTTATGCTGGGAGATTTTTAAAAACCACATACACTATATCATAAACGCCTATCTGAAAAGGCAGGCATAACACAAATTGTCAACTGCTCAGTGTCCAATTCTGCTTCAAATCATGTAATTTCTGCAGCCAATTACAATGAATTTCAATGGAAAATTCCGCTCAAACAAACCAACGAAAACGCGCTACGCTCTATATTTATCAAAATATGCCTGCCAGGAGTTGTGGCAGAACGCATAACGACTCTTGTAATTTTAACTCATGAATCTAGAATATTACATGTTTCTCTTCCGACTGAAACAAATATAGAAAGAAAGAGCACACGTAGACCTCTCATTACATGTTGGCTTTATGATGTTTGCCCAAGAACTTACAAAGTTATGAGCCGTGAAAGAGGGAGTATCGGGATATTCGCATAAATCGCCACTCGCCGGGTGATCGTGAAATCCCCTGATAATAGAACTACTATAGATACTTATGAATATTTATTTAATGAAACCACATATATTTAAAAACCTCTAATAAGGTCAGGTATTAGAACCAATAGAAATACATGAAATATTCACAAACATACATTTGATCCTCATTTGCACATCTATCTGCATTAATCAAATATACAAACAACACAGAACATACTCGGCTCAAAAAAGATTAGAGATAAGTGAGTTAATTTTAAGATTATTAATTAACAATTTGATAAGACATAAAATAATTCACACAGCAAGGTGACAGTCAGCCTTACATGGCAACATTCTTGGCCCATATGATGAAGGGTCCCATGCTGAGTAGAGCCTGGAGGTTGACCATCAGCATGATGGGAAAGTAGAGAGACAGCTTTCTGTGCGTGTCCTTGCTGTCTTGTTGGCGGCTCACTATGTACATCAGTCTAAGCACCTGCAGGAAGTATGTTATAATGTTATAAAATAAAACCACATCATCATAATCTAGAGAACTTACGAGGAACATTTCTTCCATCTCATCTGTGAAGATAATCCAAGGCTGTTTGGGAAATGTTCTTACCAAAAAGAATCAGACACTCAATAAAACATTTGTTCTCATTGATATCAGGTATTTGGCCTGGAAGGTGCACAGCCAGACTATTACACCTGTCCAAAGGACCAACCAAATCAACAGCATTCAGAGAAATATTCATTGGTAGAGAGGAAAAAAGCACATTAACACAGTAACTGCAGTTAGGTACAACCAAAAGGCAAGATGGAAGAAAGAAATAACAGACAGAAAGGAAAGAAATAGGACCTAGCAGTAGCACTCTCCAACCATTCGCACAAAAAGAGGTGATGGAGTTAGTAGTTTATAGCCAGCAAACCTGCATTTTGAAGAAAAAAAAATTAGGATGATAGAAATAATCCAAAAGAAATAGAAGGAACAGACTATATAGAATACCCATCAAACACTTACACTGAAAAATATCTTTTTTTCACAGTACAGTAGTCTCCGCCTAAACGCACGCCACACAAAAGCACGCTCCGCTCAAACGCACGCTTTCGTCATCTGACGGGTTTTTTAACTATTTAATTTAGTGGTACAAACGCACGATCACTCCCTCTAAACGCACTCTCTGATTCGCGAAACAAGCTGACAAGTTAAGCTTGACAAGGGTAAATTTTCTCCCGCTCAGCTTGCATAAGACAAGCCCAAAAAAAACGGATTTTGGTGAGACTGGCCCTCATGCCGAACAAAGAGAGTGATGGACAGCGTTTTCATATCCAACTTTCCTCACACACATAGATCTAGGTCTAGGACTTGTCGATGAAATGTTGGGGAGTTGGGGGACTGAAATGTTTTTTGATTGGTCACCGGAAATGCAGTTTTGAGAGACGGTTTCTGACTGGTGTTTGGGCGACTGCATGTAATGTTTAGTTAGGCCTAGATTTAGGTCTATGATGATGCGCAACACGTGTGAATGCTGTAAAACATTAAACACTACATAGGCCTTTCTATAGGACTAAAGATTAGCCAAGTAGGCCTAATCAGCTGCACTCGTAGAACTTATAACAAGTAGGCCTACTTGTTCAACGAATCACTATAGAAATGTTTCTCTGAATGTAGAGATCTATAATTCTGAATATATATCTGATGTCATCCATGAATTTACGGTCGGGGGCGGTCGCTTGGAAAGCCATATGGCTGGACCGCCATCTCTATGACTATCACCAACAATTTTCACTCAGGCTATTGGTTCCCGACATTTTATGGTGCATATCATTACATTGAGTCTGTCTTTCGCCTCCCCATTCGACGTCTTTGTATTCTTAACCGCAGTCAGGTAATCTTATTCTTCACCAAACAGTCACATGTCATCACATTATCGACCCAAAGAATATCAAGGCAAAGAGAGGGGCTGCGTCCTTGCCTCTTTTTGCAAAGGTTCATGTAACCGCACACTCAGGATATACACACGCTATGGAGGCCTCCCGAGCACCGTGCGTTTAGGCGGAGACTACAGTAGGTGTTTTAACGCCCACCCCCCCTCCCCTCCCCAAAAAATAAAAAATTTCAATACAATTTAAATTCTTTAGAAGACAGGCTTCTGATCCTGCCCATCTGGACAGAAAAATTGAGAAGATAATACTCTATAAAACTTTCTCCCCACACAGGAATTGAACTTGAACCTCCAGCATGTGATAGCAGTGCGTCTAACTGCTACACTACATACTTTGGCACTTGTACAGACAGGACTAATAGATATCAAGATTTTTAAAACTCTGAATACTTTTTCACAGTAGCCCCTTTTAATTGTGTGCTCAGTAAAATCTCAGAGTTAGGAAGTTCAGATAAAACATAGAGCTGTTTTGAAAGACTTCAAAGAAACCTTACCCTACGACACACTGTCAGATCAAGCAGTCTCTAACTAAACTAAACTAAATAATGGTCTAAAAGAGTCACCATGTTGCAGCAAACCAAAAGTGATATGATAACTTTACAGCGATCTTTTTTACTGTCCAAATTTCTTGGATGTAATGCTTAAGGACACTTTTATTCAACTTTCAAAGAAGAATTACGTCTCAGGTCTGTGTAATGCCTAAATCAATCAATTTTGAGTCATTCAACCTTGAAAACGTAAAGCAAAAACAGTTCTGCAAAATCTGAATGCAGCGCCCATTAGAAAACCTGGACTATTTCATAGCAACATGCCAATGAGCAGAAATGAGCAGCCCATCAACATAATGGCCATAGATGCAGATTTTCCTCAAGAACAGACACAGACAATGGCAACATTGAAATAATGGACAAGAAGCAGACAACACTGGAGCACTATTCAACCACCCACAACAACAGAGGAAAATATAGCAGAGAGGGTTGAACCGGTAAAGACGCAGACCTTGAATATGAGGAGACTTGAGACGAGAAAGGAGCCCAGAGAACCACAGACCAGGCAGGACGAGATGGCCAGGACACTGAGAACAAGCTGGCCCGAGGAGATCAGTCGCACCAGCCCATCGGGCAACCTGTAGATGGAAAAGCACACAACTCTTATGAGCTACTGTAGCAACAGGGTAAACATATAGGCCATGCTGGATTTGTTCCTCTTTCTGTACTTCTTTCTCACTTTCTGCTGTTTTGCTCATTCATATACAGCTCTTGCTCTTTTTTTCCTTGTCTTCTTTTTGTGATTCTTTTTCTTATGCCTTCCCTTTTTCTTCATCTTCTTTTCTTTCCTTTCCTCCATCTTATTCACCTTTTGCTGCATCTTTTTCTCCTCCGTCACCTTCCTTTTCATTTTCTTTTTCTTCATCTCCCTTATTTTTAAATTCAATATTCCCCTGAAAAACTGCACAGCCAGTTCACTGAAAGTGCTTTACTGTATAGACAACTGATTTTTCCCATATTTAGCCCATTTTTCTATGATAACTTAGTGTATAGTGGGAGATACATCAGTACACAGGAATAGGATTTCGATCAAATACACCATACAATAAGAACATCCAAGTGGAAAGAAAGCATAACAACATTATATATGAATAAATCATTAACTACTGTGAGAGTCTTGTAGGGTTTTCTGATTGGGATTAGAAGTTTACACTGAATAGTTCTCAGGACAATGCAATACCACATTATTCGTTCAACTGCCGATTTGCGTGGAAAAAACAATTTCAACTTAACCATTTTGTAAATGACATCCCGACCATCCTGATTACTTTTGTCAGAGGAGATAATTTTCATTCCTTCAAAAGGCATGCCCGATATTTTCTCTTGTGTATTTGATCTGAATTTTCCTATCATTTTTTTTTCAAGCTTCTTTCAACATGATCCTAGTCCTTCAAAGACGTGACTTCTTCTGTAAAATATTTTCTAAGGCTTAAAAGATCTTCTAATATCTCCTCATTGCAACACCACCCTCACCATGCAAAGAGGCGGCCCAAGAAGCTGACAACACTCATGGTGTGAAAGACTACAAAGGCCTGCATGTACGACGTCATCCAGCAGCACAGATACATGAGCAGTGGTAACATCTTGAACCAGATGCTCTGGGCGGCCAACGAGGCTGCATCATCCTCCGGAACTCCGAATTTCGTCAGTAGTTTTGCCACGGGACCAAACCTGCAAGTCACACACAGTAATTCTATTTACTTCTGTAAAATGCTTACAATTCTAAAAAGAAGGCAAACAACATGTAATCTATTAGCAAGTTTATGAAAAAGATTAAATAATACGGTTACTAAACAGTCAGCCAACAATCAGATATATCCCAGTGTTACTGAGAGACCCTTCACAAATTGGACATAGACATTGTATACATAAAATCCTGTGGCCAAGAACTTAATCAAACTGCATACATATTATTAAGTTTCAAACTTTTTTTTTTACTTAGTGATAAAAAAAATATCCCTGATTTTAAAAAAGAAACTTGCAAATGCCCAATCCTGTACATTAGTTCAAATACAAAGCTAATGTTCCAATGGACTCGGTACTCTTAATAACATCAGGCAATGGACTCATGACGGTAGCTATTACATGGCGTGAGGCTCTATGTTAAACAACTACCTGATGAGAAAGTTGAGGACTAAAATAGTAGGCATTATGTAATAAGGCTTGGCGTGCTCCATCAGGCTGTCGGCAGGTGACTGTTCTCTGGTGCTCACAACTGAAGATAGAGAGAAAAAAATTTAAAATATCTCCTCATGTCCTGTCCATATATATGTATTTCTACGTCTTAAAAATATGATATAAAAATGCGATACAATAGTTGGAGGCATACGCATACACATGATTGATAATTTATCGCATGATTCTCAGAATGACGCAAATTGCTTCCCCTGTTTGTTGTTGCTTCATGCCTGACAAAACAAATGCTCTTCAAATATATTGCTTCCAGAAAATCACACTGAAAATCACTACAAAAAAAAAAAAAAAGGAAGAATTACAATTTATCACAGAAATCTTATGCTATCTCTTGTTTTGTAATTAATACAAAATACATGAAAACTTGATTTTTATAACAAATTTCAGAAAATGTAAAAGAATTCTTAATACACAGAGGGGGGAAAAGGTAAGGGAATGAAAGAAAGGCCAAGTCAATATATGGCAAACAAACGTACACACAGAAAAACAAACAGAGAGAGTGGAGGAAAAGGGGGGGAATAAGCCACGAGAAACACACACACACACACACAAACACACACACACACACAAACACACACACACACACAAACACACGCATGCACGCACAAACACACACATTCTCACAAACACAGGGAGAATATAGAGGATGGAGAAACAGGGCAAATGATAAGATAGACAGACCCAAAAAAAAAAATCAGGTTGGAGAACGAAAAACAACAAAAGAAGACAAAAACTCAATTTCAAAACAGTTGGACTTCAGGTTTCAGTGAAACAGTTCAATAATAACCCAGCACGTATCATCAAGAACATCACCAGACAGGACATTAATAGTGGACATCAGACCGAGGCAGCTGGTGCAGCAGACGACTCACCAGAGCAGCTACCAGCCACCCGCGTGAGCAACGTACCTTGACCTTTGCCGTGGGCCACGACAACCCCGCGCAGCAGCAGGCACAGCACAGCGACCAGGTAGCCGGGCAGCAGAACGCCATAGAAGCGGACAGCCTGAAAGTGGGGAGGAAACAGTACCAACATGGGATTCAATAATGTTACCTTTCTTATTTCAACATCCCACGGAATGACAATACTGTACCGCAACTAAAAATTGCTCGCTGATATTTTATATTATAGTTTATACATGTATTTATTCACATGTATTTATTCATTTATTTTTTGCTTATTAAATTTATACATGTATAAATATTTATTTATTCATATATTTATTTTGATTTTTTTATCTAACTTTTTACTTACACAGAGTTTTCACTTCATTTATGGCAATATTTTCTTTCGCTCAGGTGTGGGATTATTTTGCTTTTTGTCGGTTTGTTGGGGTGTGTTTGTTTGTTTTTTGTTGGGTTTTTTTTTTTTTTTTTTTTT